CAAGTGGAATAATTGTATCATATTGATTATTTTTTGATTTAATAAAGATATGGTCAATACATGTTTTTGAATTATTTTTTTTTCTTGTAGGTATATTTATTGCTGAAACATATCCATATTCGTAAGATACATCTAAGTACATTTTTGTAGCATCTGTGCTTGCTAAAAGGTTAATATTAAAATCTCCAGTGTATATTGAGAAATCGACATTTGTTATATCTTCGTTTAGTCTTTGAGTTAAGTTGTCTATAAATTCATTTATATTTGTATCTGATGGGGACCGGTAGAGGGCGTTTATTTCTATTTGTTTATTGTTATTATTTACTTTTAATTTAATCAAGTGACTGTTATCGAATTTAATAATTTCGTGTGAACTATAGATTTCGGTTTTAACAAAAATTATTACACCGTCATTTTGGTTGAATGTTCCTTGATTATAAAGTGTTTTATATCCTGCTATATTAAATACTATTATGTCGTCAACTATCCTTGTCTCGGTCAATACGATACAGTCAATGTCAATTTCGATTTGTTCCAAAAATATTTTTAATTTATCTAAGTTATGACGTATACCTCGGATATTTTTATTAATTAGAGTAAAATTTTGTGAGTTTTTATTTGTGTTGAGTACTTCATTTAACTCATCAGAATTTAATATAGAAAAAGTATCGAGTTTAGTTAGTGTAAAATCCCGCAAATATTGATTCATATTTTAATTTTAATACCTACCTAATTATATAACTTAAAATAAAACCTAATTAGCATCTATCACTAAACGGTGTACATAAAATTGTCCTGTATCCCTATAAACTATTTCCTTCCAGCACGTATCGGATTAGTGCGTTTTGGTGTCCCGCGATCATCGGTTGTGGTATTTTTCCTACTCTTGTTGTTATTTTTTAAATTCTGCACTATTTTATTTTCTTTGATGTCTTCTTTGGCCTCTTTTTGTTCCTCATCAAATACTTCATATGATGACGTGGAAGGTTCACTGTTTGCTCTTCTAGGTGGTGGGGATAAGTCTTTGAAGGTATAAAGCTCACGTTCTATGTAAAGTTTATTTCCTTTTAAATTTGCCTTTTTATTTTTATTTCTTGCAGCACGGAGATGCTCTAATAGCACTTTTCTTTCTTCTAGGTCTTTCTTTATTAGATCCTCTTGTAATGATATATTTGTTCCTTTAAGTTTTTTTCCGTTTTTTAGGATTTCGTCCCGTGTTATTTTTGAAATTAAGCTTACAAGTGGATACATATGGATCAAAGGTCACGCCACATCGAAAGGTAACCGTCTTGCCGATTCACTAACCAAGAAAGCAGCCAACCAAATACTTTTTGAACCTGACCCTTTTATTGGCCTGACAAAATCGGTAGTGACAGACCTAATTAAAGAACATTCCCTTGTGAAATTCAAGGAAAGACGGGATGAAACAAGAAACTGCAGAGTTGCCAGGGAGCTCCTAAGTTATCCTGACAACACTGCAGCAAACAAATACTTGACTATGACTAGACAGAATCTGCGCCTGGTCACAGGCATTCTGATTGGTCATTGCCAAGTAGGGAAGCATCTCCATATCATGGGGCTGTCAGAATCCGCACTCTGCAGAGAATGCGAACAAGAAGATGAGACCATCGAGCATATCCTTTACGATTGCTCGACGCTCTCAATTATTGGAAGATTTGTATTCGGCGAGTATCGGCTAACACCGGCCGATATAAGAGAAGCAGCTCTTGGCGACGTTGTCAATTACATTAAATCTGTTGGCTGGCTCACGAGCTAGGAGGTACCTACCATCTTAGGAGGATGCACAATGGGCCTAATGAGGCATAAGTGCCGTGGGGGTAACCCACCCTTCACACGTTACAGATACAGATGCTAGTAGAATAATTAGTTTAAACTGAAAATAAATAGTTTGCTTTTGATTTTTTCCTATTTAAAAGTAGTGGCCACTGTTGAAAGAATGAGTGGTAACTGTTGGCACCATGTACCAACAGTAAGCACAATTTCAAGAAAAAATTAATAACACTCTATATAAAAATAATTGCTTGGACTCCACCAGAAGGCATAGTGCTTTGAAACGAAGTAAAAGTGCTTTCAGATGAAATAATCGATAGCAGATACATTTAATTACTAAATGCACCAGACCCAAGTAATTAAAAAGATGGCCACTGCTGGATAGTCTCCGCTACTTTTAAACAAGAATAAATGCTTCCAAATAAGCTTCAGTCGCAATAACTCATATTAAGAATTTAGGTGTAACTTTTAATTTAAAAATTGTATTTGATTTTACAAAAACATACTAAAACTCTTTTTCCACTTTATACTTTAAAACTATTGGAAAATACAACAAATTTATAAAATTTATCCATAAAAAAAACATTCACAATATTCAGAAAACTTGCGCAACATAATATGTACTTATTCTCACCTATAAGAAATAGAAAATCAGAAGCATTACTTTTATTTATAAAATTTGTAAAAATCTATTAAATGCAATCGCTATTAATAACATATATTTTTTTTATTGTACTCGAAACAATAATTTGTTTTATTTTGATACCAGTTACACTAATTACTTTAAAAAATTATTCTTTACACAGGTGTGTAAATTCTCATTATTAAATATTAAACGTAGTCTTTTCTATTTCAGGAAATGCGTTCGAAAACGTTCTAAAGAAATATATCTTTCTAGTTTTCCTAATATATTTGTTTAATTCCTAAATACTTTTAATCATTAATCCTGAAATTGAGCAATTATTTTTTTATATAACATTTAAATATGTATTACATACGGTATAGACCAGAGTATACTGGCGCATTCGTTTGCAAAATTGTTTTAATTCGTAATTTTTTTTTTAAATATCCGGAAGGCTTACCTAATTATAAAAGTGTAAGATGACACTCGATATTTGTTGATGTTATTGTTTAAACAACGAAAAATTAATTAAGCCAGAAAAAATGCATTTTTTGCAATGAATTAATTTTTTGTATATTCTTTAGGATATTTCGACTAAAAAAAATCCTTACGCCCATCATCGTATCTTCAACCCTTTAATTGTTATGAATTTTATAAAATCCAAAAATGACTAAAATTCTAATTTTCTTGAATTAAATAATATAACTTAAAATTTAAAATTTGGAGTGAGGGTAGCCATATGTGAGTAGTAGGGATTAAGTGTAAGGGGTTAAAGAAAAGGTCCTTTATAGAAATAAAGGACCTTTTCTTTAACCCCTTACACTTAAAATTTAAAATACTATAATTTTAAATTTTTTACCGCATATTCAAACTATAATAAACAAAATTACCTCAATAAATTTTCAAAATTTTGTTTGGTTTGTTTTTTTTACGTTATAACAATATGCTTCCTACGCGCCACGATGCCACGAAAAAGATTAGTATTTTCATTAAACAACAAATTAAATCGCACAGTCACGTTATCATTTCGACGAAGAGTTTTAAATATGTAACAGGTTTCGGACACTTCACTAACGCCTCGCCATGATCACAAAATAAACACTTTTTGTCGTCAGATAATATAATTTTTTTTGAAATTAAAGAGAACGACATTATTATTCAGAAAATTACACGACTGCAAAGTAAACCAGTAGATGTAGAATCGAGCAAGACTGATTAACAACTGAAAAATAATTTTCAAAACGAGCCAAAAATTCTAAGGTAGGGTTGAAATTTCTATTTGGAAGGTTGTAAAAATTGTTTATGACAGGAAAAAAATAGAAGAAGAGTTAAACGTACAATTTTTTCAAAATACGAAATAAGTCCCTTTACCTATTTATATTCATAGTGCAAAAGATTGAAAGTCATAAAAAAATTTCATATTTATAGTATTTACTCTCAATATTAGAAAAAAAAATTTTTTTCCTTATTTTTGTTAAATGGAGAAAGGCTTGGATATTTTTTAAATCATAAAATTTTATGAGCCCAGTAAGCCTACTATGTTCATTGTAACAGGTAGAAATTTTTCACGGATCGACAAGTGCATTTGGCCTTTTTATCGTATTGAAAAAAAAAAAGGTTGAAGATTTTACTTCTCAAGCAGTATCTGACAATAATTTTTTCATGAATAAAAATAAATGTTAAAAATAAATGTTTCTGTTAACTTTAATAAATAAAAAAGTTATCAAAAGTATCTAAAAAAGTAAAAAAAAATCACATGATACAAAACTATTAATCGGCAAATATAACAAAGTGTTATGTAAAATGTTAATATTTTTTTTAAACTTATTACCTCTGAAAAACAGCAAAAAATTGATTCAGCGCGTCATCGGGCTTTCTCTTACCCATCTTATACATTGAGTTGGAAGTGAGATAGAAGTACTTCTCTCTAAAAGTACACGCGCGTAGGAAGCATATTGTTATAACGTAAAAAAAACATAACAACAAACAAAATTTTGAAAATTTATTTAGGTTATTTTGTTTATTATAGTTTGAATATTCGATAAAAAAATTAAAATTATAGCATTTTAAATTTTAAGGTATATTATTTAATTCAAGAAAATTTGAATTTTCGTCTAATTTGGATTTTATAAAATTCATAACAATTAAAGGGTTGAAGATACGATAATGGGCGTAAGGACTGTTTTTATTCAAAATATCCTACAAAATATAAAAAAAATTAATTCATTGCAAAAAATGCATTTTTTTGCCTTAATTAATTTTTCGTTGTTTAAACAATAACATCAACAAATATCGAGTGTCATCTTACACTTTTATAATTAAGCAAGCCTTCCGGACATTTTAAAAAAAATACGAATTAAAACAATTTTGCAACCGAATACGCCACTATGCCCTGCGCTAGTAATCTTACAATTAGTTTAGGTTAAACTTATTGTGTATAGAGATTTGGAAATACTTTTTTGGTTCTGTCCAGTTTGTGATACAAAAGAAAAAAATAACGACAAGACAATAAAGAGTAAAATGTTTACTATTTATCAATACAAGAAAATAAATACTAAAACTAAATATATATAGCTTAAAATAGGTATCTACAATGTGGCTAATTTTTTTAATAATTTTCATTTGTAAATAATAAATTGGATAAACAATATTGGCAAATTATACCTAAATTATACTTCATTTTAGTGAACGAGGCATAATGCATTATTACGTTATCATTCCTGTATAAGCAATACACAATGTTAGATCAATCTTCATCACAGCTTATTCACTACCAGCTTCCTAGAATAGTTTCGGGATATATTGCCATGTTTTCCACTCCAACGCATTGTGGATGGAGTTGTCTCTATATTTCCCGAAACTACTCTACTTTACTTGGCAATAAATGGAACGTTTGCGCATCTCCTGCCGCGCATTCAGCTGAACAGTCAAATTCAAAGATTTAAGGTGCGTTTTGCAAGCAGCGATTGTGGCGATGATCGCTGAGCGATGATCGCACATTGATCATAGTGGACTACTGCTAGGCGATCTTTACATACTTCCGTTTTCCTATGAGCGATAATAACAATAGACGCTAGTGAGTTTATCTCCTCGCGTGATCTTAGGGCAAATATGATGGCAGTTGTAAACGATTATTCAACGCGATTATCGCTCAGTGATCATCGCCACAATCGCTGCTTGCAAAATGCACCTTTAGTAGGACAATCGAGATGGTAATTTCAAGTGTTGGGAGTTTTCAAGAGCGTATTTAGTAAATTTAATTTAATAGTGTGTTTGTGTTAGCTGTACGTCTTGAGTATTTAAAATTTGTGTTAAACAATGTTTAATGTCATAGAACAAATAATGAAAAATATTTGTCTTAAAGTTGTAGTATGATTTGCGAAGTGGATTCTAATAATATTCAGATGTCTAAATATTTGGATTTTTAAAATTAAAAAATTTTTTTTTGATAAATCCCTTTCCCTAAACTAATTAAGGAACAGTTAAAAACCATTATTAAAATAAATGATTTAGTAGCAATGTAGCATAGTGTAGTTTTTTAAAACAATTTTACTTGCATTAGTGATAATTTATACGTATTTTTGTACCTATTTTAGTTTAATTTCAGTACTTCTAGCTATTTTTTGTACATATTAAGCTGAAAATAACAAATTAATTCAGTTTTAATATTAAAAATTTAACTAAAATTTGCTACATTTATGATTTAGTGTCATATATTCTTAGATTGTATTATTTTAATAGTTGCTTCCATTTCAATATTAAGCATTTATTTTTGCACCTATGTTATTATAAATTGATATGAACAGCTAAACATTTTACTAAACACGTATTTATTTTATCTTAATAATTTTTTTTTTTAAATTCCCATTAGCTTATTATTCAATAGTGGTAAAAACGCTTAAATTTAAATTTTTAAATTCTTACAATTTTATTCCTATCGAACTTTAAGGTACGCCCCTGTTATTTACTTTACGATCAAAATTTCCCTAGACCAAATATCAGTGACTATTTCTCTAGAGAAATAGTCAATATTTGGTCTAGTGAAATAGTCGTCCCAAATATAACACGACCTTAATTAATATTCTGCCAATTTTGGCATTATTAATCAGTTGATTAAATCTCTCGGGCTCTTATCAGATCATTAATGCCAAAAGTTATGTCTCATCAAATTGATATTAAAATTTCTCAAGATTTAGATTCAACAAAAATAGCTGAATATTATCAAGGTCTTGATATATTACCCTTGACTATCCCCTCGATGCTTATACCTAGTAAGTCAGAACGAACTATCTTAAAACGGTCTTTAGCTGGTATTGAATAAGCTGCACTTAATGTGATTACAGCACCCCTTATTATTTTCGGACATAAATAATCTCCAGAAATTTTTTCAAAAATTTAAATTTTGGCAAAATAAATTAGGCAATAATATCTGAAATATACATATATTTTGAAGTTTTAATTCCTTCCAGTTTCCGAGAAAAAATCAAAGGGCTTTAAATTTTGAAACATATATGAAATTAAATGCATTCCTCAACAGTACTATTGTTAATATAATCCTCAAATGTAAGCTCTTAATGTCTTGTTAATAATTTTTTTAAATTCGCCGAAATTAGTGGCTAAAACGCCTCGTTAAGTGCTATCTTCTGATGTAAACTGGTGTAAATCGTTGCAAGAAACGAATGATGACTGAGAGTGTACGATACGATAATTACAGGCGCGTTACACCAGAAAGCAGCACTTAACGACGCGTTTTAGCCACTAATTTTGGCGAATTTTAAAAAATCATTAACAAGACATTAACCTGTTAACCGGGGAAATCCCTTTCTAATTACGCAACATATAACGGGCGCGTCTTTTTCCACTAAGACGTGTCATTACGTCACGCCCGGAGAATGTAATTTCATATTACTATATTTTTTTATTCATAATTAAAATAAATGAAAAATCGTGAAATATATATTTAATTGTTTATTAATATTTATGAAATACAATGAAAAAAAAAACAAAGTTTCAAACAAATATAAAAAAATACCGGCACATGCGCAAACATCATCAATCTCGTATACAATTTAGATAAAAATCAACAAATATTAAAAACATTCGAAAACATTATCAATCTCGTATATAATTTAGATACAAATCAACAAATATTAAAAACAATTACGGAGCTAGTAAAAGCACAAAACACAATAGGAATACTGAATAAAAAAGAGATCAAAAATATAGGTAGGTACAATTATATAAAATTCAAAACTCAATTTCTGTGTGATATATTTTAAAACAATTATTGATACATAATGCTACAGCACAATCAGGACACCAGTATGTTGATTCTTTTCTAGCGCCTTTTTTGTAACAAACCCGACATTTCCTGGATTTAGTTTTTCCGGTATCACTTTTCATTTGCTCAGGGAAATGTCTTCCCACTAAGCGTGCTGGTTTTGGTGTGGAGTTGCTGGTTGATGGTTTTGGGTGGGTGCTAACAATATTATTTTTAACTATTTTTTCTACACATTCTATCAAAAAGTGTAATCAATCTAATTGACCTCTATCCTTTTTGTACAAAATGTATGCGTTTAGGCCGCACATATCAAGTAATCGTAGAAAAATTTTTTTGTAAATTTTTTTTTATCCTATTGCGAGCAGCCGTGTAGGCCACAATAATTCCATCTCCCAAATCTACACCACCCATATTCTTGTTGTAATCCAGGATAACGTTCGGTTTTTCTTGTCTTCTTCCTCTGTTTTCTATCATTGTCCTTTCGTCATTATGAATAGAACTGAGCATCAATACGTCTTTCTTATCCTTCCACTTTAAAACCATTAGTTTGCCTTTGAATCTTACGATATGTTAATTTTTTTCCAATTTTTTTATTTCACTGGGGATTCCGACTCTGTTTATTCTCATTGTTCCAACAATGTCTGTATTGTTTTGACACAAGACTTCAGCCAAAGGAATTGAAGTATAGAAATTATCCAAGTAAATCCTATACCCTTTATTCAGTAAATCATGTGTTAACTCCAAAACAATTCTTGATGATTGTTTTTCTTGTGGGTAGTTTGAACCATAGTTTGTGTCCTTTCCTGTGTATAAAATAATGTTTTGGACGTATCCAGATTGACCTTCACTCAAAATGAATAACTTCATGCCAAATCTAGCTCGTTTCGTTGCTATATATTGTTTCCAGGACAAATTCCCTTTCCACAATAAAAGAGACTCGTCTACACATATGTCTCGTTCACAAATATAAAATGTTTTAAACTTTTGTGACAAATTATACGTTAGGATCAAAACTTAGATTATCTGCAAAATGTAAAATCTTACACAATAATCCAAATCTGTTTTCGCTCATAGTTTCGTAAAAAAAGGGTGTTTCAATAATTATTATTGGCAAAAAATTGGCCGGCATACAAATTTGTTTGTTCCGTAATTGTTTTTATTAGGTCGTCATCTAAAAACTTCTCTAAATAAAACACAGGAACTTTTTTGGAGGAGTATTGAACATTTTTCCCGGCTGTGCAGTGAAGGGAAATGGTGGTCTCTCGGCATTTTGAGGCACCCATTCTTCACTAATGTGTCTAAGACTAACTTCTTCATCATCTTCACTCTCAATGTCGCTCAAATCTGTGTCATAGTCATGACCACTATAAGAGGATTCCGATGAGGAACTCATTATACGTCTCCTTCTTTTACTTGCCGGTATATTTATTTCGTCATCGCTGATAACGCTCTCACTCATTTTGATGGTAACTAAAAAAATAAAAAAAATATATATATATATATAAAAAGTTGGAAATATAAATAAAATATAATACGAAACATTTTTCATAGCCATTGTATTTATTTGTAAGGATTTAATTGTAAAATAAATAATAATAGTGCAAGTACGTACCCGTCACTGTGTCACTGCTCACACGAAACACGCCTTATCACTCGTGGTAGCGAAATCATACTGAATCCATCCGCGTATTAATTTCAAGTCAAGACATGTATGAATGACGTATTACCATAGTAGTAGTAAACTATAAGTCCCGCCCGTTCCAGGGCGCAATATAAATATCGAGGACGTATTCATATGTCCTACCCGTACCCGATATTGTTTACTTTTGACGTATTTATACGTCCCGCTCGGTTAACAGGTTAAGCACTCAAATTTCGGGATTATATTAAGAATAGTGCTGTTGAGGAATGCATTTATTTTCATTTTTATATTTCAAAATTTAAAGCTCTTTGATTTTTACTCGGAAACAAGATAATATTACCTTATTTAATTTGCCAAAATTTTTAAATTAATAATTTTTTGAAATATCCTTGTCCGAATATAATAAGGGGTCCTGGTATTCAGTTTAAAGTTGTTTGATGATAGTGTCCGACCGAAACAAAGTTTTACAACCGAAACCGAATTTCGGCTACTGTCTTAATTTTGACCGGAACCGAAACAGAAAGTTCCTTTAGTTTCAGACTACTTTTATTGTAAATTTTAGCTACACTTATTACCTATTTATTTATATTATTAAAAAAGTAGTTTAAATAAATTATTACTTTTTGAAATTAAATATGGTAAGTGAATTACAAAGTAGCAAGTGGTGTTAATAGGTATTATAATTACGAATTTATGGAGTTGCCAACAAAGATATAAAAACTATCAAAAATAAAAAATTTAATTTTTTATGAAAGAGAAAACGTGGTGCCGAACACCGTAAAAGATAAAAAAGAAAAGTAGTTCCGGTTACAGCTGCAGTTTCAGCAAGTTTTCCGCCGAAACCAAAACTATAGCCGAAACTCTTATTTTAAGCAAACTAGCTGAAACCGAAACAAAAACTGAACCTTCGGTCGGATACCATTTGATGGTTTTATGGCTGCTTAGGTACCTTTAAACAGAGCTGGGTAATTCCTAGTTAAAAAGTAATTAATAATTACAATTACTTTTTTACATGTAATTTGTAATTGTATTTAAGTACTTTTTTTAAAGTAATTTGGAATTGTAATTACAGCAAAATCTGTGGAGAAATTGTACTTTGTAATTATATATATTTGTATTATTTAAATTGTCTAAATACAATTACTTGTCATAAGTACAATTACTTTTTCAATTACAATTACTTTTCCAATTACAATTATATTTATAAGTACAATTATATTTTTTAATTACAATTACTTTTAAATGCTTGCTTATACGCTGCATGTGATATAAAAACAAGAAATTTCCTATTTAAATAGGTCACTAGAGCTCGGACTCGCATTTATATTTATATCATGTGTTTGAATGCATTTGAGGAAAGCGTTGTGCCGTGAAGCAGTAAAATTGTTCAACTCAAAATAATAACAGTAAGGCGTAAGTAGATGCAGATATCCTTATTTATAAGATGTATTTTTTATTTATTTTATTATAAACATAATTTATGTTGAATAAACATTATAAACTAAGGAAATATAGTATGAAGTAGTGCAAATAGCAGTTTTTATGGCGTTAATACTAAAAACTATTTATTTACGTTGCGTAGGTATTTCTAGTTATTATTCTAGTTTTCTACATTGAAATGAAGGACTAACTATTTTAATAAACGTTACTTCACCGTTACAAGTATTTGATTTAAACATAAAAAATGCAATGTTTTAATTAAATTAATAACACTTGTAACGGAATATAAATATATTTTATGTTATAAGAAATTATTTGATGATGTAGATGTATAACCAAATTTGAGTAAACTGTGTCTCATTTTTGTTTGTACGAACGAGATACAGAACGATACATTTTATATTATTCAATATAAATTTAATATTATGTACAGGGTGAATCATTAAGGGTGGGGACCGGCCGTATCTCAGAATAACTTGAAGTAGATTTTATTTTTAAAGGAACCCAAAACAGGTCAATTTTTACTTCAAGAGGAACACCTTTCTACAATATCCTCAAGTGGCACATATACTTTCTCTCCTCTATGTCAATCTAACCAATACTAAGTACGACACATCGGAAAGGTAACTTTATGGCGAATTCAGCAATATGACCCTCTAGCGGGATAAAAAATTATTACCTATGGTAAAGTGTGATACTTCATTTGAAAGCTAATTTTATTAGTACTACAACCAAATATATTATAAATAAAGACTTTTTTAATTTCAATGAAGGCGTAACACATTCGGTTGTACAAAAAAATGGGGTACAGTTAGAAGTGTTATAATATCTCAATGATTTAAGAAAAAATATTACGATACTATATAGCTACTCCTTGATGAAAAAAGTGTTTTCTAAATACAATACGGCACTTTCTTTTTCTGGGTCTGTTGAGTGTTTATTCTCTTTTGCCACAATTGTCAATGCTCCCAGAAGGCATGCGCTATCCGACAGAAATTTTGAGAAACTTTTTATTATAAAAAGTAATAATTTAAACATTTTATTATAATTATAACTAGATCTTGCAAATCAGGCGTCATTAATTTTTGCAAAAACATATATATTTTTCTTACATTCTGTGGTATACTCTTGTTAAAAAATATGTTTTATGAAGTATCCCAAGCTTAAACGACAAAAATAAAAAGGTATCACATAATTTTTGACAAGAGTTAATTACTGCACCGAATGTAAATAAAATGTTTAGTGTTAACTATTATTACCTATTAATAGGTACACAAACTTTTGTATTTTTGTTCTAAACCAATAAACTTTTTAAAGTTCATATTTTATTATTAACTTACCTGCTTTATTTTTTATATTATTTATCGATTTTGTCTTTTCCCTTAAGTTAAAAAGACCTTAAATGGTACAGAAAACAATACACTTAGGGCTGGTTGTATAATGCTCAGTTTTAGGTGATATATGTCAATTTCCGATGCTTTATGTGCAGTCTAATGTTTGGGGAAACAAGCCCTAAGTGCTAAATGGTGTTTAGACTGTACCTATGCCATACAAAACTTGTCATGTGTCACCTCAAACCGAGTTTATCTTTAAGTAAAATATATACAACCCGCCCTTAAGATATCTTTAACTCTAAGGGATCCTTAAGAAAGTCGTTTCAAACAACTGTTAGTTTGACACTTTGAATTACCTATTACCTATTTATTTGTGCCGTGTTCCTCAATTTTATCATAATTTGTTGTTTTAGCACCAAAGTAATTATAAAAGTAATTATAAAAGTAATTATAAAATCCATTATAAAAGTAATTATAAAAGTAATTATAAAAGTAATTATAAAAGTAATTATAAAAGTAATTATAAAAATAATTATAAAAGTAATTGCTAATTTGTTTTTTCTTGTAATTGTAATTAAATCAATATAATTCCCATTTTTACAGCATGTACTTTGTACTTGTAATTAATTCCTTGTTTGAAAAAGTACTTTGTAATTGTAATTATTTTTAAAGTACATGTAATTACCCAGCTCTGCCTTTAAACAATATTACCAAATTAGATTTACTTATATTCGGTGTAGATCTTATAGCCGAAATCAGTGTCTACTATACCTACCCTTTTTCGGTCAGGTAAAATTTACATTTTTAAGATGCAAAATCGTAGTTTACCAGATTAATTATTTAAAAAAGCAAATCAATTTAACAACTTTTTTTGTCACCACGTAGCTATTGACATAATATAAGTTTTATAGTCTCCAATACGCCATTTTTTGTTGTCTCAATGCAAACGTATTGATGTTGCAAGGTCTCTTATAACTTCCTATGAATCTGCCGAATCTCATAAAATCGTCCATTTTTATTTTCAATTCAATCTTTTCTGAAGTACCGATATTGATATCGTGTGGCGCTAGGCCTAGTTCGATGCATTTAGACAATTTTTTCAATTTTCCTCTGGTAATTTTGTCGGTGAAAATAGATTTTTCAATCCAAGGAGTATTTTCTATTGGTTTATTGCAAATTATACATCTGAAATAGAAAATGATCTTTAGTAATTCCGCATAACTAATAACTATTATACAGTGTGACACCTTTGTAATATTCTTGATACAAATTTGTATACATTAATAGTAATTTTCAAAGCATGATTTTTTCGAAGTCAAAAATTATGTGTTCATAAGTGTATGTGGCACGTGCGCCTCGTTAAGAAAGGGTGGTCGGGAATAAAGTCTCATTAGCTTAAAGTGACCACACGTCCCGATTTGGCGGGACTGTTCCGCTTTTTGGTGGACTGCCCCGCGTCCCGCCGATATTTAAAAATGTCCCCTTTTTAGAAAAAATATGCATTTCTTATTTTAAATGTACTGTAAAAATATATTACATATAATTTATTAAGTATTTATAAAGAAATAAAAAATACATAAAATAACACATAAAATGCATCTACAGTCAGGTCCGACGAGAGCCAGGCCAGGCCGGGCCCCGGGACAATTTTCCAGGTCGGACCCCGCGACAATTTTATAAAAAACGCCTTTTCAACATCACATTCCTAAAAAAAAATGTCTCAAGCAAATTCTCCTCCTCTTTAATGAATTCTCTAAAAAAAGATTCTCAAGCAAAAACTTCTAATGGTGAAAAAAGGTCCTCCCTCTTGTGCTCTTGTATCGAACTTCTAAAAAAAAACAGTACGGACAGCCGTTAGACAGTGCGGTTTGTTGTTTTTAATTTGACGTTCGGTTTGACTTATTATTTGATTGACGAAGGTAGAGCAATAGTCGCCACAACGTAACGGTCAATAAAGTAAAATTTAATACTCTTTTTTAGCCTTTGCAGTAAATTTTTTATTTATTTCTAGTATTTACCCACAGAATAAAAGATGGGTAAAAAAAGAGAATGCAAATTTAATGAAGAGCTAAGCAGATAATTTCCATTTATTAAAAAAAAAACAAAATAGACTATTTGGTACGGTGTGATAAATGCAATGCCGAATTTTCGGTTTCACATGGTGGAAAAACGATATAGCTAAACATCCAGCGACAAAGAGACACAAAAGATTTTTGAATATTGCCGCTTCCTCGTATAAAATGGAACAGTTTTTCACAGTGCTAGCTTTGGCAACACGAAAAAACAGCTAGCATAGTGGAAGAGCTGTTTGCTTTCCACGCCATAAACTACAATCAAAATTTCAGATCAATGAATTGTACCTCGCAAATGATCAAAACATTATACGACAAAAAAAAATTGGATGTGCAAGGACAAAAATCGAAGAAATTATTTGTAATGTTTTTGAACTATATTCGTTGTACGAGAAATATGGACAATAATGGACAATAACACTAGTATTTTCCATTTATTATTGTTATAAGCTTATTTGAATAAAAGCGTGTTAAAAAAATTATTTTTAACTTTCTAGTTTGATATGCTCTAAAATCATGTTTTTTAGTTTTTTTAAACTATATTTATTTTTCACTTTTTAGTTCGATGTATTATAAAAGCGTGTTTTTTAGTTTTCTGAAACTATATTTATTTTTTACTTTTTATTTCGATTAATTATTAAAAAAACTGCTGAAAAAAAAATATATTTTTTCAGCCGTGGGGATTAGAACCCACGATCGGTGAGTCTGGCAATCGGAAACCCGCGCCTTAGATCGCTCGGCCAACGAACGAACTTGAGTTAGTGGGACATACTGACAGTAATAAGCCACTTGCTTTTAGTCCAAAGGAGAGTTACAAACATACATACAGGTGAAGCTAATATAAGCGTGTTAAAAATGGACGCAGTTATTCCTTCATTTTAAACAAAATATGGACAACTAAAAAAACACAGTTGAACATTAAAAATTTAAAGTACTAATTCATGTGAAATATTTCCATTTTAATAAATGATCCGAATCTATTGTAAAGTATTCACTCGGATCAAAAATATAACCGTGAAAGAAAATCATAATTGTTTTTAAATAAAAAATTTATTTTGATTAAAAATTATAATGTTCAAATTATTATTTTTTACAAATATTTTTATAGTTACCAATAAATAATAATAAATACATTTTTGTACAAGTATATGAAATAAAATATATATAAGATATTTTAATTCTGTAAAAGTCTGTTCACAGAGCACTAAGAGAGCTTCAGTTTAAGACATAAATTGATTTTAAATAGGTCAATATGTAGATGGCGCTGCACTCAATATATTTTTTTTTTTTTCGATGGGAGAATCTTTCTTATGTAGCGCATCTGGGAAAAAATGCATTTTTAGGCAGATTTTGTTTTATGAACTAATTCGATATATCTAGCCATTTTTGATGTACAGAGTGAGTCACTTAAAACAGTTTCATCCTGGTTTTCAGCATTAATCATTGAATTTTCAGAAAATACTAAAACAAGTCGATTTTTATTCCAAATTAAAAACATTTTTACAATACAGACATCTGTCATATGTCAACCCCCTTCCCTTGCACTGCTCCACACCTTATTTCAAACAGGTAATGTAACCATGTATGGCACATCATTGAAAAGGTAATTTAATGGGGGATTCAGAAAGATTTCTGTACATTGCGTTACTTAAATTGTATCGCCCTCTAGCGGGATAAAAAAAACTACTACGTATTAAAGAGTGTGATACTACAATGTGTAGTACATCATTAAAAAGGTAATTTTATGGAAAATTTAGAAATATGTCTGTTCATTGCGTTACTTTTAATTGTACCGCCCTCTATCGGGATAAAAAACTACGTATTTTAATTTTTGCCACCTTATTTGAAAGCAAATTTAATTACTAATTCAATGTACCACATAACATTAATATAAATATCCTCCATATTGCACTTGCAATAGTTTGAAAATCAGTCATGTATTATTTTAAACATTATTGCTAACTTTATTTTGTTGCAAATGCAATATGGAAATGTTTATATTAATATTATGTGGTGCATTGAATCAGTAATTAAATTAGCTTTCAAATGAAGTGTGACACTTTATAATACGTTACAGATTTTTTTATCCCGATAGAGGGCGCTAAAATTAAAAGTATCGCAATAAACTGTCATATTTCTGACTTCCCCATAAAATTACCTTTTTAATGACGTGCCGTACATGGTACATTCCTTATTTAAAATAAAGAGTTTGGAGAAGTGGAAGGGAGGGAGTTGACACATGACAGATGTCTATATTGTAAAAATGTGTTAAATTTGGAATAAAAATCGATCTGTTCTAGCATTTTCTAAAAATCCAATGCCGAAAAACAGGATGAAACTGTTTTGAATGACCCACTCTGTATATCAAAAATGGCTGGATTTATTGAATTAGTTCATAAAACAAAATTTACTTAAAAAGATCCTTCCATCGAAAAAAAATTATTGAGCGCAGCGCCATCTACATATTGACCTATTTAAAATTAATTTATTTCTAAAACTGAAGCTCTCTTAGCGTTCTATAAACTAGCTTTTACAGAATTAAAATATCCGGCCTGGGAGTTTTTATTGGTACACCCTGTATATGTATATAAAGCAATAAAGTTAGTGCTTTTTGTAGAAAGTTGAAGCTGTGGAGCACAAATGTGAAACAAAAACTAGAAATGTTTGCAAATGTGAATGAGTGTGTCAAAACATACAAGGAAGAAAAACAGTATGTTAAAGTTGTTTTTGTAACAATAGAAAGTCATTTAGCCATGTTGGCACAGAATTTTAAAAAGTATTTTTTTGATGACGACAAATTGGTAGCAAGTTACGAGTGAGTTAGGGATCTATTTCGAACTACTCCCGAAGGTCTTTCAACTGCAGAAGAAATCTTTATAGACTTTACTGCAAGTGGCGAAATCAAGAGAGAATTTAGAATAAATCTCTCTATAAATTTTGAGCGGGAGTGGATGATGCCTTTTTTCCACTGAAAACCTGAACACTTTGTATATTATTACCATTTTCAACATTCTACCTGTAGGAGAACTACACGTCTCGTTACACCATAGGTCTTGTCGAAGAAGAAAAACTACTAAAACTTGTTTAAAAACTTATTTTATCTCGAAGGACCATGTAATTTTTAACGGTTTACAAGAAACCCTAGAGAAACGAACTGGGAAAGCTATTCAACATCACTTGGAGAGTATCTCGAAGAGGGTATGGAAATAACAGGTGAACAAAGCCTTGACCGAGCAGTAGACCAAGTAAGTAAGGCTATTATAACCGCTTACGAAGAAAACTGTCTGGAGAAAACAAGGCAGCAAAGAACAAAAACAGTCTGGTGGAATAAACACTTAGAACGCCTTAGAGGCGAAGTGCGAAGGCTATTTAATAAAGCCAAGTCAACCGAAGACTGGGCCCTATACAAGGCTAAACTCACGCAGTACAACAAGGAGATAAGAAAGGCTAAAAGGCAATCGTGAAGGAAGTTCTGTGAGGAGTTATCTGAAACACCCACATGCTCTAGAATCCACAAAGTCTTAGCTAAAGAGGGTGCTGCAAACCAAGTAGGATTTCTCAGGAAAGATGACGAAACCTATACGAAAACCTTCGAGGAAACGTTAACAATGCTCACAGAAGTACACTTTCCGGCCGCAGAAATTTTGCTAGACCCGATAGTAACATACAGCCCTTAAAGAAGGTCTCGTAGGCCAACTCCTTTGGAATTGAGGCTAGCTACAGAAATATCAAGGCCGAACAAAATTAGATGGGCTACAAACAAATTTCAATCATACAAATCCCCAGGAGTAGATGGAATATATCCCATTCTACTACAAAAGGGACAGGAAAAATTCAAATTCCACATATGTGTCGCATATTTAAAGCATGTATAGCCTGGCGACACATACCAAAGGCGTGGCAAAAGTTGAAAGTCATATACCTCCCTAAAGTAGGAAGGTTTAATGACATGACACCAAAGTCGTACCGCCCAATCAGTCTATCGTCATTCATGCTGAAAACGCTAGAAAGACTAATAGATAGATATATACGAGACGAAATACTGAGAGAAAATCCTCTCAGCGATCGTCAATATGCATATCAGCCAGGAAAGTCAACCGATTTGGCCCTGAA